AAAAAAACAAATTATTTAATTAGATGATGTTTATTTTGTGTTGTAAAAGTTAAATTATAATATAATACTTACTCTCTGGTTATTATAAAGAAATAAAAAACAAATTATTTAATTAAATGATGTTTATTTTGTGCTGTAAAAGTTAAATTATAATATAATACTTACCATCTGGTTATATAAAGAAATAAGAAATCAAATTATTTAATTAGATGATGTTAATAAAGTTTTTTTTTGTAAAAAGTTAAATTATAATATTAATACTTACACCCTGGTTATTATTAAAGAAATAAAAAAAGAAATTATTTAATTAGATGATGTTTATTTTGTGTTGTAAAATATTTATTTACCTTTATAGAATTTAGCTAAATATTGTTTTATTAAAAAGCAAATATTAAATTATGATGTAAAAATACTACATATTTTTATAATAGTTATTTTCTGTGTAAGAAAAAAATACCTTTGCTCATTTTTTTTACTAGAAGCAAGAATTTCTCCAAGACCAGTGTTTATTCAGGACACTGGGTAATAAATCATCCCACTATGTTGTGGAACTTTACACAATACCTAACCACATCTCCATCAAAGTCAATGCCATCCAACAACATAGTAAAATATGTATTTTTTTAATGAAGGAAATCTTTGACACCAAAATCTTATAAATCCATTGACTAGAACTTGAGATAAGGCTGTGTAACAAGACAAAATTTTGGTCATTTTTTACCTCCACACGTAAGATATAAAAGTAAAAAAAAATTAGGTGTCCTGACAAAATTTCAGCCCATAGCTTTTAAAATGGGCCCAGGATGACAAATTTAGTTGATTTTTGCCGTGGGATGATAGTTCATTTATAATTACCTGGTGTCCTGTTTCTTCCTATTGTCACCAATTATTGTTTGGGAGAGCGTGTTAATTGATAATAACAATATAAATTTATGATTCTATGGATCAGTATGAATTGGCTATTACCAACGAATTAGTTTTATTAGCGAATAATTTTGGTTTAGTGATTTAAGAAAAATGTTTTATTTAACTTATTTCTAAGTTAACTTTTACTATAAACTTTTACAAGTTATTACAATGTTTTCCTTAGTCAAAACTAATTAACTTATTACAAAGTTATTTTGCAAGTATGTCGAATTTGAGCTTCTTATATACAATTAAATTAATTAGTAACAACCTAGAATTCTAACTGCGATATCGCACTTTAATTGTGACATAACATTCTAACCACAACGCTAATTTCTAAATAAAGTTATTTTTCAAGTAAGTCGAATTTGAGCTTCTTATATACAATTAAATTAATTAATAATAACTTTATTGCAATCTAGCATTCTAACCGCGATATCGCACTTTAATTGCAATGTAACATTCTAACTGCGACACGTTTTTCTCAAGTAAATATTTTAAACATTTATTTAATTAACATGACAGATTCAATTTCAAAATTCATTATTAAAGAATATATAAATTAATATTAATATAATAAAAAATTTTCACCAGTGGCGAAATTTAAAATCATTCTAATAATCAAATGAATAGGTATATTGCAAAAAAGAAGCTGGCTGATAGATTTTACCCAAAAGTTTATTAAACTAAATATAAAAGATTTATTTTTTGTCAAAATCAAAATATCATTATTAAATTTTGGGGGATACAACAATTATATATATTTCTTTAAACCCTTTGGCTCGGGTATCTCAATCTCCTGTATTCAGCAAGGACATATTCGTCCATCTTTAAACAGTCAAAATTGAAGGACAGTATATTTACTGAATCCCAGGAGAGGACACTCCTCGCTCATCGCCGCACAAATCTTTGACATGTTGTTAAGTTGATAATTTTTTTTTTAAAAAAAAGAAAAAATGACTAATTAATTGACCGATACTCATGTCAAGTCGAGAATTTTCCAGGACGAATTTGCCAACAACTAACATAATTTTATTTGGTTCGATCTTGTGCATTATATGCTGGTTATCGACAGAAGTGAACGTTTGTAACGATTGTCGACGAATTTGTTGTCATCATATCTATATATATCGATTCAAGCAGAGGTACCAGAGACTGTTTTGATAAAGGAAACGGCTGTAAAACGGATGACATTATTGTTATTATTATTTGTTGAAAGAAAATTCTTTTTGAAGGATTGAAAAAAAAAATTATTAATTCAACTTTACTCTCATCAAAAATATCAAAAATAAAATGAAGAAACAGTAAAAACGGCCAACCTTTTTGTTTATTATTTGTGATATTAATATATAGAAAAAAATATTATTATAGCAGGAAAAATCTTTCAAAAAAAAAAGGTTAATATTATAATAATAAGGAAATTAATCTCAGATTATTATTTATGCTTTTTGAAAATTGATTCCTTTAACAATGATGGATTAATTCCAAATGTTAAAATTATTTTTGAAAGAGGCTTGACTTAATTAAAATAACCATACCATTTATGAGAATTTTATTTAATATTAATTTATTTATTTCTCAGTTTCTCAGTTAAGGAAGACAAGCTGAGAACAAAATCTTGATTATCTTTAATATAACGAATTTTAATTAAAAGATACATTCTAGTTCATATGATCCTTTATCTTGTACTTTGATATATTCTGATGCATTTATATTTGCTGCCTCCTCTCCTTCAATACTATCGGGATGCTCTTTTCAACCTTATATTTTTGTTCTATATTTTCTTTAAAAAAATATTATTAAAATATGGCAACAATCTATAAATTTAGTTTAGTAAACAAAAAGTCAAAGAAAATCCAAAAGGTATCATTTAGAGTTGAAACAGGCTCAAAATGTTTTTTATAATCTAAAACTCTAAAGCCAAGTCAAAGTAAAGAATCTCCAATTGGCTGTATACAAACTGAGTTTAAAAAAAATCAATTTTGGGTGCGGGGAACAAACTTTCATTTAGTATTAGTACGTGAGGCTTGTCGCTTAACGGCTCTCAAAATCGTGATACGTTCAGGAAGTAAATAGCCTGCTTTTGAGCATTCCAAAGATGAGGTACAAAAAATTTTTAATATTAACCCGTGACTCGTCAGTCTTTTAAAAAGGATAATAATAATTGTATTTTTTATTTTTTTACAGATATCCGGATTGATCATCCACGGACCGCATCACTCGAGTATTTTTTCTTAAAAATAATAATAAAACGATATATGATAATGAAGATGTCATTCCAAGCTCGTATATTCCTTTAAGTAATAATAAAAGATCAAGCGGCTCTAAAGGTATTTCAAAGCTTGATGTATCATAACTTTACAAGTCCTGGCAGATTAATTAAATTATTTATTTGTTCCAATGCTGCAGTGTATCTCCCCAATTTTTTTAGATTAAGTGTGTGAAGAATCTGGTGAATCTTCTCTCCCTTTTGGAAAATGAACAACAATCGTAACAATTTAATCACATAGTAACATCGTTGCAAACGGTATTTCTTATATTCTACTTTTCACGTTTTTTTAATTTTGAAATGTTATATTTTTTTTTTTGTGGATTTTTACGCGCGTGAACTTGAAATTTATAATTTTGGGTATTTTGGATTTGAACTTCACGTAGAATGAAATTTATTATGTATTCTAGATTATATATGTAATATGCTTACCTCCATAAAGCTTTTGCTATAATAATAAGAAATTGGATTGTGGTATATTTATTTGTCTTATTATTATTCAATATTAAGGATAATTATACAAATAATTATGTTAAGTTTAAGAAGATGATGAATATTCTGATAAAAGACATATAGGATATGGGGTATGTGTCCAACTTGCAATTGATATAATACTTATTGGGCATGGTGTCAATCATGTGATCCAAAGTCATTAACTGAAGGATGGACTAGTGGCAATGAAACATTAGATGAATTAATTAAAAGCATACAACTTAAAGCAACTGAGTATGATAATAATTATTATCTTCAATGGATCCCTTATAATGATTTAATAAATATTGAAGAGATGGGTGAAGGTAGGTTTGCAACTATATATGAAGCTACTTGGATAAATGGTAAGAAGTATACAGATTATAGAAAAAGATATAGTAAAGATATGTCCGTGACATTAAAATAACTACATAATCCACAGAATGATGAAAAACTGTTCTTAAACAATTTGGAAGACTAAAATACAATTTAATATGTAACATTTGATTATTGGAAATTTACCGATATTGGGCATTAATTCAAGGTTCAATGTTTAACTATTCTTGTATTTATTCCTTGTATTAAGGGCTAATCTGACCTGCTTCCCTGATGATATGACGATGCAATTAAATTCCAGAGGGGTGTGTGGCTTTGAAGCTTGTTGAAATCGCATTGTTATTAAAGAGACTGTTAATTCCTCTCGCTTACTCACAGGTCAAAAGCTTCACTGCCTGTGTGAAAAGTTTAGAGCAACTAAGAGAGCAACTGTATACAACTGAGAAGGGAAGTAGATGATACATTACAAATAATATTAAATTATAAAATAAAAAACTACCATAACTCCATAGGAATAAAATACTCGGATCAAAGCCATTACGAGTATCACCTATTGTTTGGTGAAAATCTCTATTCTACCTTCACTATTTCTTTATTATTATCGTCATTTTCTTTCCCTTCTACGCCTTCATTATCTTGACTCTCCATTTTTTTATTCTTTTGTTAATCCATCCCTGAATTGCTTCTTAAGTAGAAGTTTTTGATAGTGGAAACAGTAATTCATTTGTTACAACATTTTTGTCAAATAGGTATTCAAAATCCTTCCACAGATTTTTAACATCTTCTTTTCACCGACCAGCTTACTTGATTTATATTTCTTTTTATCAAATTATTATTTTGTCAATATTTTGGTTGAGATTATAGCGATGAAGCAAAAGGCCAAAGAACAGTCCAATCAACAATCTATTGGTTAAGATTATTTGCAGTGCAGCTTGATTTTTTATGTGAATAATATAGCTTTAGTTTTTTCTATATTAGTAATAAAGAGTTTGTGTTTTTATATTAATATTAACAAAAACTTTTTTATTGTTATGTTTATTTGAATTGTTTTATTCATCTATAATTTTTGCTCCTATTCTTGAGAACAAAAAATGTTAAACGAAGTCTGAATTTAAAATAAAATTCCATCTGATAATCTACAAAGGAGTTCTCATTTTCATTGAATCTTGCAATAATTGTCTTGCTTCATTGTTTCATTATTGGTGAGAGTAAATATTTTGTTTTTGCCAATGACAATCTGGTTATATATCTTATTTGTTTTTGTTGCAGTACACCCCATTTTTTCTTTAGTTTAATCAATCAATCAATCAACAACTTTTTAACAATGGAAAAAAAATAAGATCTGAGTTTTTACACTCTCTCACTCTAGTACCAGTAACAACGCTGAATTGACACACATGATAATAACGACATAAATTATTATTTTTTATTATTCATAGTGAATTAATTCATTCATTATAAAAGTGACTAAAAAAAAATATTATATAAATTATCACCAATAACTGTAATACTAAAATTGAGGTTTTTGATATTCATCCAAAAAATAAGTTTTTCGATTTTCATGTAGAAAACTTTTAAATAAAATATCAATTAGCAAAAATAAATACATTCTATATATAAATATATATGTATTTTTAAAAAATAAAAAACTTACTTTAAGAAATCAATTAGATGGTCTTTTATTATTGTCAATGTATCTTCTCCTACATTAGAACCAGATATTAAAGTCGGAATATATACTAAATATACAAAGTATTTTTTTTTATTCCCCCAAAAAAATAATGATTTATTAAGTTTGTCACTTTTTCCAAAAAATCTCCAAAAACTTTTTATTATTTATTTACCAAATAATCTTAAGAAATGCTCAGCTCCATATAATTGTGAATTTTCCAATTTATCAAATTTATTTTTCAAATCTTTATATTGTTGTCTCTCTAATTGATATAGTAATCTTGTTCCCAGACATTTATTAAAATAATAAAGTATTCCATTTATAATTTCTTCTGTTGATCCATCATTAAACAAACTATTACATATACAAATATCATATATTTAACAATTATAATTTACATTGACTTTTGATTTTTGATTTTATGATTTTTCTATTATTTACCTATTATGTTGACTATATTTTTTTTTTTGGTACAACTTATAATGATCAATTATATCTACTACTGATGGTTTACGTGGTAACCGTACAACCTACACATATACAATTAAACATAAATAAAGGTGTGTATATATATTATCTTATTTATTATATCGTAACATTTTTATCTGTAACATTGACACTTACTAATTGTGATTTATTAATATTTTCCCAATCTTGAACTAACATGGCTCTTAGCGTTTCAGGTATTGGAATTGCTATTATGGGTTTCTTGATAATTTCATCCTAAAGACAATATAATATATTCATTCATTCAATGATTAATCATTATTATTAATTACAAAAGAAATTATTTATATAAAACGTTACTTTATCAATTGATTGTTCTCTCCTTCTCTTTTTTCCTTTTTCTGTGGTTGTTGTTGTTGCAGCTGTTGTCGATGTTGTTGCAATATTTGATGATGCTGCAGTTGCTGCCATGTCAATATTCATTCGTCTACCTGTTGATGCTTTATTTTTTCTATTAAATGATTCTTCGATTTGTTTTTGTTTTGATAAATTAGTTTCATTAAATTTTAAAACTCTAGGTTCTGCAACCCATTCATCCCAACTATTTTTGATTTTTTTTTTTTTTTTTTGTGTAAAAAATATAAATTTATTTTTTTGGTTTAGTAAAAAATTTAAATTTAGAAAAATTAAAAATTTTTCTTACGTGTGTTTCCAACCTTTATAATGTATTAAATAATGTGGTCCAGAAACACCCGATTTTGGATGTTTTTGATCTAAATAATCTACATCCAACACCTTTTTTATTATTTATATATATAATTTTTTTATTTTTTTTTTAAGTAGAGAGGAGGAGGAATTAACAAAAAATCATTATATAAATAATATATAGCATAAATACTTTTGCTTCATAAATCATTGGCCCATGATAACAAAGAATTCGTTCACCTTTTTGATATAAAAATTGTTGTGACATTTGTATATATTTATGTATATGATGATATTGTACTTTTTTTAATTAGTTATAATTTATTTTATATTGATGAAAAGGGAAGAAGGGTCAAAAAAAAAATTTTTTTGAATTTTAAAAAGCAAAAAAAGAATTCAAAAAAAAATTTCACTTTTTATTTATATAATCGGAGGAAGTTTGTGTAACGTCATGTGACATTCAATACATATTAATAATTAATATTAATATGGCACGTATCTATAAACGTCAATCAATAGTCGAAAAAAATTTTATTTTATTTTTTTATTTTGGGTTAAACTTTATATGTCGATCATTAAACATTTAAGAAAAAGAGACATTTAATTAATTCTAATGTGTGTATAATTTTTTAAAAACAGTTAAAAAAAATAATTAATCAAAAAATTGATAAAACGTTAAATCTAATTCGTTAAACAAAATTATTTTATTGGCACAAAACTTCATAGTGACACCGACTAAAGAAAATTATCAGTGGTCACTTACTTTTATGGAAAGGCTTGTTCGAAATCTTTTAACTTTAAAAGTTTATAGATGAGGATTTTAATAATGATCCGCGGGGTGCATATCTAGAATTCACTTCGTTTCTGCTGTTATAAAATTATTATAAATATATTAACAAATATACCTATATAAACCTTTTTCTTATGCCATCTTGGAATTACTTACACATTATTTAAAAAATTTTGTGCTACTTTCCTTTTTAATATTAAAAGGATTGTCATGTAGTACATGTAATTTAAAGGCCCACATATTAGTCACAGAACATTAGGGCACTGACATATATTAACTAATATTTTAGGATGAGAGTAGCAGAGATCTTAATTACAAATTATTTTGTAAATAATGTGATCATTATGGCAATTCAGCAAAAGAAAGATCTGGATTTTTTATAAATTTTGGGAGAAAATGCCACAAAATTGCCAATTGTCAACCTTTACAAAAAAAGTGTATTATTCTTTTTGTGCTATAGAATAATATTACTTTTATATATGAATAAAAAATAATTTGATCTAAGAAATTAACATAGTCTGTGTGATGATTAGATACTTTTCTATGTATGTAATGCAGACTTGGGGCCTCACTGATTCATTTGCAGATCAGCAATCTATAAAATTCTCATATACATAAATGCTATAATCAATCATCCTACATTCACTTAAACACATTTTGTCAAAAAGAGGTTGCTTTTGTTATTATGTGAGAAGAGAGAAATCATTAAGAGTCCTTGAGTTTTGTTCTTTAGATTTTCCTTTGGCAGGATGCATTGTTCATTTACAATTTTCAAATAAGTAAAAGTTGGAAGGTATTTATTACATTCAGAACAACAAAAAATGCAAGTAGGTGGTTTGTTTGGTCAAAGGATGGGCAATGCGAATCATACCCAGAAATTTTAAGAGAACATAATATATATTATAAAGGAAATTAGGAAATTATTACTTCAAATGTTTAGTTTATTAATAAAACTTAGCAGAAATATTATTTCAATTTTGTTAATACCTAAAAAGGCAACTGATTACCATACATGTTGGTTTCCAAAAGTTTTTGCCATAAGTTGAAACTAGTTTTGATTTTGACTATTGACTTTTAGTTTTGACATATATGTGACTTTTAATTTTAGTTTTGACTTTTGTCTCTTCAAAATAGTTTTGACAACCAACACTAGTTAGGGTAGTGATTTTATGGTCAGTAGAGATCTTGTACTGTACCCCTTGCATTCCTGTATTTTATGATCTACAACCAATTTAACAATTTAGTACATAAATAATATATATGTTTAATTCTGTATTTTTTTTAGCATGGTGGAAGTTCGATTTAATTGGTTGTGTAATGTGACAAAATTGAATATACAAAAATGGAAACTTTTATATAAAGTTTCAGCCAATCCCTAATTAAATAATAAATTTTCACATGTTTAGATTTTTTGAATTTATTTTTAGACACAACCTTTAACTGTTAACCGTTGTTGGCTTTGATAAAGGTATAAAAAAGAAGAAATTCTGTAAAAATTTATGTAAAATTAAAAAAAAATATAAAAAATATAACATATCAATCAAATTTCTTTTTATTCTTTAATATTAAAAACTCTTTACCTGGCTGGTCAAATAAAATCAAAGCCATTATTATTATACTTACTATTCACTATTATTCATTATACTATTACTTATATTATTCGCTATTTAACTATACTTCAATTATTTAATAAAAATGATGTGTAAAAATAAAAATACTGGTCCTTATGCAGTTGAAAATTGTAAAGAAAATGAAAAAGGTCCTGAGTATCTTACTTTTAGAAATATAACTGATAAAGCATTCAATAAGTTAATGAAGCATCCAGATTATTTAAATATAAATTACTTAAAAAAAAATCAACAACTTTGTTTACACATTATATGAAATATGTAGAACATAAATATAAAGAAGTGAATAAAAGTGAATTATCTGGTGAATATTCTTTGGATGACATTAAAATTAATATTACAGAAAATGGAACAATGCCTTGGTAATTAACTGCCCTTCTTTCTTTATTTATAACAAATTATAAAGTTTATTTAAAAATTATTATTTAAAAAATTTTTATGTCAATTGAAAACATGACCTTACATATATGAATTCATTTTAAAATTAATAAGTTATACAATATAATTTCAGCATAGTTAAAAATCTTGTGATTGGTTGATCAATATTTTTGTTTCACGTAATTGATAATCCAATAAAAATTAGCCAAATATTTTTAAAATTTTGTTATTTATTAATTTATTTATTTATTAATTTATTTAATTTATTAATTTATTAATTTATTAATTTATTAATTTATTAATTTATTAATTATTTTTTCGAATCAAATTAAATTAAAGTTGAACTATATTATGAATTGGAAGTCTGTGAATGTTTGTGAGGTCATAAAATATTTGCTTATTCTCTGCAAAGGCTTTTAGTAGGTGTATAAATAATAAATTAGATCAATTTTATTACATAAAATTATAAATTTTTGAAATATATATACCTAATATCCTTTTTTGCAATTGATTATCAATTCCAGGTAGAGATATAATATGGTCTGCATCTTCAAAGTCTGGATTTGCGTTTTGTATATTATTTTCAGAAAATAATTCATTATTTATATCCTCTTCCATGTGCAATCTTTGATTGTAAGAGCTTGTTAACTCATCAATTGCTTTAGATAAATACATGAAACAATAATGGCACCTTCTGTTAATTATCTCGAAGCAACTTTCATGATAGGCATGACCACAGACTAACACATGACTACTTTCTATTGACCTATTAGTACATTCAATTCTATCACAAAAATTCTCTTGACTTGGTGGCACTGGTGTATGAAAACCAAGTGGTAAGGCTCCAATAGGAAATCCTGATTTAAGATTTTGAAAATAGTAATAGGGCTTTTTTATTCTTTTTCCTTCCATTCTTTCCTCAACTAATCCATTGTTTTTCCAAACTTCATCAAAAAAGTCTAACAAGAACAAGGCAGTTTTCTTAACCAAAAAATCTAAATCCTTTTTACTGTATGGATAATTTTGCTTTGGTGAGAAGGCAGCTCCAAGAGAATTCTCATGATGAAAATGGTCTATAAAAAGTGCATCACGTCTCAATGATTTTGCAGTAGATACCTTTGCAGTAGTCTGCCTTCTCAATAGGCTGTGGAAATTTTCCACTGGGTATTCATCAAATATATTTAGGTTGTTCTTGAGTGTGTCAATTACAGGATGTTCTATCTGCATCCAATAATGAATATCTGATAAAAAGGCCAGTGTAATTTTATCATAATTATGACGGTGGAAACATTTCATTACAGTCCACAAGCGAAATACTGTGCTGACATACTCTTGGAAGTGATTCTGTCGAAAAAGGATATTATATATATCCAAAGTTGCAGGCACCAAATTATCTAATAGATCAAAAAATGTTACATATTGTGGAGTTTTTGAGAATTTGAATTTTTCAACCACAAATCTTCTAACTAATTCCCAGCCTGCATGAGCAAGATACATCAATGTATCTATTCTCCAAGGTTTTGGCTTTGCAGCTAATTTATGTTTCTTGTTAAAAATACTTCTATATAATTGATCAAAAAATGGCCAGAAGGTCAAAAAAACAGATTCTTTTGTATTTAGAGCAAGATGTAGTGGACCAAGGAAAGGAAACAAATGAGTAATTTTTTCTGGAATGCTTGTTTCATTTTCATTTTTTAGTTTTTTAACAATAGCTCGACGAATATATAGTTGGCCAGGAAAATCAGCTGGAATAAATATCACATTATTATACAAGTATTCTTGTATTTCAGGTAACCCAATAAATGTTTTTATTGCTTGCAGATAATCATTGGTATTTTTTAAATTCAATTCAATGAGGTCAACTAGTTTTGTCATGGTGAATTTTCTTCTGTATTTTTCATAAACATCTGGATCATATGAATGCACAGTCAAAGATTCTATAAGCTCGTTTTCAGGCATGTTTATAATACTTTGAATAAATTGCCAATTAATTTTTTCACTATTGTAACTATTAACAAATGAAATCATATATTTTTCCCAAAGAGCATTTTTAAGAATTAAAGCATCAACACCATTATGATTATGAATTGGATGATTATTATTTGAATAATATGGAATAGGAGCTACATTTTTATTGTTAAATAAAATTGTTGCCATATGAGCAATTTGTGATATAGAAGTTACACTTGGCACTCTTGTACTGTGTAAATTATGATAGTCATCAATGTTGACAATTAATAGATTCTGAAAAAATTTCTTAATATAACTCTGGACAGTCAATTCATGTTCCTTTACTATTTGTTCTAATTTATTATATACTGTTTGATAAGTAGAACTAATCCCCATATTAGCCAGTGTGTTTATACCTTTAGAAGATGTGCCAGCTCCTGACATATGTAAACCAACTGCATTTTTAATACTGCTAAATTGTTTATTTCTAAGTGCAACCATCTGGTAGCAAAGCAACATTACTTTTTGTTTTAGCATTTTTTTAGTTTCTTTATTTTTTCTATCAGGATTCATAGCTTCATATAACATATCAAAAAACCCCTTGAGTTTTGGCTCATCTCTTTCAATTAACTCTATAAATTGTTTGGCCTCAAAAATTGGTTTGTTACCATCTTTTTGGTACTTAAAAAGCACATCATTCATGAGTGCAATTTGGTTACCAAAAAATTGAAAAAATTGACTAGATTCTATTAAATTTATGATACATTGAAAAACCAAATGTATTTATTGGATGCAATTATGAAGTATAAAAATAACCACCATATATTTTTAAATTTTACAATTATTACCTTTTTCATTTGGCTCAACCATATATTTATCTAGATCAGCTTCTAATTTGTTTATTTTTTTTTCTAATTGTTCAACAGACATAGCTTTGTTATAAAGTTCCTGATAGACTTCTTGTGTTAAACAAACTTTTTTTGGATTTCTTCCAGTATGGTGAAAAGATCTATCATGGTCTTTTTGTTTTACTGATAATTGAGGCTTACCACGACTATAAGTAACTAAATCATTATAATGTTTTTTGCATAATTGGTCATTAATCTGTAATTTTATATTTATATTCTGAATTACTGGGCTATTACATG